GGTGTTGCTCTTGAAAAATGAGCACGCTTCTGCGACGTGTCTGAAAAAAAGGGTTTTTGAGATTTTTTTATTCTGAGAAATTTCCTATAACTCAGCTCAAAATAGATATTTTTGTGTTCTGAAGAGTGGAAAATAATCGGGAAGCTAACGGGGACAGAAACCACCCAATTTTGGCATGATGGCCTAGAAAACCAATTTTTGAGAAAGTTAGGCCACCGAGCCATTTTTTTATGTGCTAAGCTTTATATGGCTAGATGCGCCTTCAAGTTTTCTAAAAATCGGCCAAATAAACTCAGGGAAAGCATTCAATTTGAGCCGAGTTATAGTTGAAGTACTGAAAATTTTATTCTGAGCAATTCCACAAAATTTGGGATTTTTTGGAGCCATTTTTTTCGAAAGATTTTTTTCATTTAGAAGATTTAGAAGGATTTTTTGATCTACAAACATTTTTTTTGAATTCCAATTTCGAAAAAATCCAATTTCCATCCCCTTCTCTTCCATTTTTTTCTTCCAATTTCCGTTCTTTTTTCCCAAAAAAAAAATTCGGAAGAAAAGTTCTATCCATCATTCTTCTTTTCGCCGACCGGGTTAGGCAAAAACTCTGGCGTCTCTCGAATTCCCATGCTATTTTTTCGGGGGAAAAAGCGCATGCGAAATAATCTCGAGATTACGAAAGGAGATTGAATGGAAATGGGAAAAGAGAGAGAGAGAGAGAGTGCAGAGAAAAGGAAATTACTCACTTGGGCAGAAGCACTGAAAGAGATTGCCAATCCTCAATGTGGCTGGGGCCACTGCAGCCGAGACCAGAGTCCGGAGAGTCTTCCTGAAAGAAATTGGGATGATTGGGACCAAAAACCAAGTTGAAATCTTTATTTTGAGCCGAGTTATGGTCGAAATACTAGAAAATTTTATTCTGAGCAATTCCACAAAACTCAGCTGAAAATCAATATTTTTGAATCCCAAAAAGTAAAAAGCGACCGAGAAGTCATTTGGAACAAATTCCACTCAAAATCGGCATGATGGCCTAGAAAACCAAATTTTGAGGAAGTTAGTCCACCAAATCATTTTCATGATAGCCCATGACTTTTATATCATCAGATGCGCCTTGAAATTACCTACAACTCCGTCCAAAAATCAATCCGAAATCTCGATTTTAAGCCGAGTTATAGCCAAAATACTCGAAAATTTTATTCTGAGCAATTCAGCAAAATTTGGCATAACTCGGCACAAAACCGATATTTTTGAATTGTAAAATGGAAAATGATTGGGAATTCATTGATGGCCTAGGAAACCAAATCCGTACCTGGAAGAATAACGGAAAATCGTTGGTGGAGGTGATGGATGGAAGTGGCTGTTCTCCTTTCTGCGTCTTGATAATTGCATCCCTGAAGGAGGCGGTGAACGATTCGCAGAGTGATGGCATCTGCAAAAAATATAGTTTAGAATGGGAAGTGGTAAAGTATTCAAATGGGCATGGCCTAGAAACCCAAAATAGAGTTTTCTAGGCCACTTCAATTTTTTTTTTTTAATTTCTTTGAAAAATTTTTTTTTGGAGTTTGTGTGACCTATAAAATTTCAACTTCAGCGATTCCTAAGCCATCAGTCTAAGGCTCTAGAACTGAAGGTTTGGTGGCCTAGAACCCCAAATTCTTGGGTTTCTAGGCCATCATTTTCTCTCCTCTTGTTCCAGTCCCCCAGCTATCAAAAAGCAGTAAAAGGGAACCCCGATCAATAAAAATAATGATAAATGTACTAAACGCTTCGCATGCATGCATGTAACACTCACTTATCGGGTAAAAAGAAAAGACATTGACACGAAAAAAAGAGACAAGGAGGACAGAAGGAGAGACGAACGATATACATAAAACTTATTGGTGGTGGTCTTTAGTGGAGGGAAGAGAGATATTGGATTATGTTATGTAAGAAATTTTTTTGGTATAGGATAACACAAAGAAATGTCTCTAGGGGCTAATTATGTTCATTGAAAATCGCTAGAGGATAAATTAGTAAAAAATGAATTTTCCAGAATTACGAATGTTAGGGCCCAATTTTTTAGCATTACGATCAAATTTTTCATGAAAGTAGATCAAAAAATTCCCTATCGATCGGTATAAATATCATGTAGGTTTGTTTCAGAAAATGTGGCTCAAAAAACTAAAAAACTAAATTTTGGATCCGAGCTTTTTGAAGAGCATTTTTGACCTGCTTTCTCTGAAAGAACCCTATATGAATGTTATACCAATCGATAGGAAATTTTTTGATCTATCGATTGGTATAAATATCACATAGGATTGGTTCAGAAAATGTGGCTCAAAAACCTGAAAAACTAAATTTTTGACTCGAGCTTTTTGGAGGGCATTTTTGACCTACTTTTTCTGGAACAACCATATAAAATTTTTATACCAATCGATAAGAATTTTTTCGATCTACGAATCCATATTCTCTCTTTTTCTAATTTTCTAAAAATGAGCTTCTAGAAGCTCAAAAAAGAGGATTTTGAAATTTCGAAATCTTCATAACCCTCCTATTTGTTTGTTGTTTTTTACATTTTCTCAAGGTTTACAGCTAGTGGAAACAAGGAAATTTTTCTTGAAAAATCAGAGAAAAAAATGATTTTGGGCTCGGAGTTTCCCCAAAAATGTTTACAAATTTCGTAATATTCCCCGGGTCCCTAGCGGGATGGGCTCCGGAAAATGAACAAAAAACAAATTTTAAAACTCGAATCGTCTAGAATCAAAAATATTCAGCAGTTTAAAAAAATGTATACTGTAGTCTCCTTAACTTGAAAAAAAGCAAGAAAAAAAGAATCCAAATTGATTTTCGAGGTTATTGTTTTCTGCAAAAAAAAAAACAATTTTTCTCTACCAATATATATTTTCCTCTTCGTGTCGAAAACAAAAAAAAGTGTTGACTTCTTCGTCTTCTCATTCTACTTGACCATCGCCACCGATCAACAGAGAGAAAAGAAACAAAAAGGTGTTCTTCTCATTCTCTCCGTTACATTTTTTTGTTTGTGTGTAGGTGTTACACCTCGAAATTTATGATGATGACGGAAATTTTCTCACCTAGGGGATGGGAATGCGCTCAAATTTGAAAAAAAACATTTGGAGGAAAAATCGAATTTGCTCCAATGATAATTTCATTATTTGTGGAAAGATAGAAATAAGGAAAAATAAAAACTTGAAAAAAATTATTTAAAATGGAGCGAAATTGCACGAAGAAAACATTTGAAGTAAAGTTTTTGGAGTAATTGAAATTGGAAAATTGATCAAAACTTTTGAAATTTCAGAAATTCAACTTTTTTCATATTTTTTTCATTTTTCAGGGTTCTTTCCTAACAAAAGTAACTATACTCTAAAGGAGATTGAGGAAAATATTTCGTAACTTTTTGCGTTTTTTTTTCTAGTTATTCGACAATTTTGAAACATATATTTGTTTCAAATTCTATATTCGAATTTCCAAAAAAACGTTTCGAATTCCCTACTTTTTGGTTCAAAAACCAATCCAAAATTTTCATTTTGAGCCGAGTTATAGTCGAAAATCTCGGAAATTTTATTCTGAGCAACTTCAAGAAATTTAGCATAACTCGGCTCAAAATCAATATTTTTGAATCCTAAAAATTGAAAAATGCAACCTAGAACACCAAAATTTAAAATTCTATAAATTCAAAAAACCCCTTACCTCATGATGCATAGCCAAGAAATCCAATTTAGGCGCTGGTTTCTCCTCCATGTCTCCACTTTCCCGGGGCGATGATCCACACGATCCACCAGCATTCTTCTCCAAAATATCAGCAAATGTCCGTTTTGAAATATTCTGAGATGACCTGCGAGCCGCCGAGTCCTTCCTCCATCGATCTTTCCGAATGATTTCTTCATTTGCCGCATCCCGGATTTCATTATCATTGACATCAACGAACCGAGTGGCATCCCCCGAAACAAAGTTGGCAATTAGGGAATTTGGACGATTTGTCGTTGATCTCATGATCTTATTATTCCAAACATCCGGTGCACTTGCCGTCCGTTCATCCAACGGTTCTGACGTTCTTATGCGGCCCCACGTCGTCAAATTCTCATTGATCCCGGATTGCCAGTGTCCTGAATCAGCAAATGCCAATTGAAAATCCTCTTTTTTCATCTGACATCGCTCCCGAAACTGTGTAGAATCCAAAGAATCCGTGGAGACCGATGGATCCACAGACTCGAAGAGCATCGAGTCTTCACCACAAAAATTGAGGGCCGCGATCCGTGCATCAATGTCATCAGGCCATTGATCCTCGTCGGGCATCATGTGCAGTTCGCACAGTTCCACCATTGCGTGGCGCTTAGGTTTAAGAAGGACGTTTCCAGAATATAGAAGCTGTGTGGGGGTCTTCAAGGGACTAAAAGAAGAAGAAAAAGGACGCTGCGCCGTCGCCGCGTCGTCGATCGATGAATCTGCGTCTCTGCCCCCGGTCGAGATGGGCCCAGAGGAGAGAGACGAAATGCGTCAGCTGTTTTCTCTGGCGTCTCCACGCTTCCTTGCTATTTTTCTCTAGTTTTGTGTCTGCGTCTCGTTCTGCAAAATTACATATACACACACTATACTCTTGAGAGTTTCTCTGCTTGCTTGGGGGGGTCTAGGGAGGAGGGGAAAAGGAGACTCGTCTCTCCGCGAAAAGCGGGAAAAAGAAGAGAAGAAGGGGGTGCGAAAATGTACTTGTGCATGAATGATGATGATTGGCTCGCATTTTGAGAAGAAAAGAGTATCTTATTACTGTTTTCGGAGTGTATTGCATAGATAAATAGTGAATTATGATGAAAGATGGTGAGTATAGTAATCCCAAAAAAAAACAAAAAAAAATTGACCCCAGTTGGGATTGAACCCGGGTATGAAAAATGGTAGGCAGCAGCGTTAGCCACTAGGCCACTGGTTTGTAGGCGAAGGCGCTGGAAGAAGAGGAACGGTGGGCGCCGCTTCTTGGCGACACTTTTACGCCCTTCCCCTATCAGATAATTGTTGCACCTATGGCGTAGTGGCTAGCGCGCTTGCTCTTGAAACTTTGGACCGGGGTTCGATTCCTCGAGGGGTTTATTCTTTTTTGCTTTTTTCTAGAATGATTATATTGAGGTTTTGGAGCGATTTTTAGCCAAAATGTTTAGATTCGAAGGAGTTGTATCCTCAGAAAACCGCATATTTTCCAGATTTCATAGGGCAGAATTTGAAAAAAAAATGTTGGAAGACAGTGGCCTTGGAGCAGATTTTTGAGCTCTTTGTGCCCCGCCCACCAATCAAATTTATGTTCTCCATGGTTAAGCGGCTAGGAAGAAGGGAACCGATCATAAAAAATGTAGGATACTAGAGGGGTACTAATGGATTTTTGGGGGCTGGTGTCTATAAAATATATAGTTTTTTAAACTAAACACTAAAAAACATAAAAATGATATTTTGAAGCATAGAAATGACGGTCAAATCTGCCTGAATTCTACTAATATTTGAAGAAATTCCGGTTTTTCTTTTCAAATTTTTTTCCGGCTGAAAAACCTGGATTCAATCCAAAATTCAATTTCAAAATCGAAAAAAATCTTCCCTTCCAGAACATTCCCGCCTCATTTTCCCAAAAAGATTGCTCCCAGGAGAGACGCCTCTTTTTTGCTAAAGGAGGAGGACACTTAAGAAACCGACCATTCCTTCCGAAAACCCCATCTACTACTTGACACGATTGATATGAGAATAAGAGCTCAAGAGAAAGAGAGACGCAGAGAAGCAGAGCAAACCACGTGTTGATAATAGTGACGTGGCAATCCAATCCATCAACAAGAACATCACAAGAAAATGATGGATTGGGAGAGGGGGGGGGGGTGGTAATAAGGAAAAATTGGATTAATTGGCTTAGAAGAGTGAGGAGAACGGAAGATGTGACAGATGAGGGCACCCACGGGCACCCCAAGGTTCTTAATTAGAGAATTTAGGTGACAGCGTTATGTACTAATAGGACATCTATTAGATTAATAAGTTAGCTGAAGAAGTCAAATGAAAATTTGGGAATTTTGCTTGAACCGATGCGCCTTTAAATTTTCTCTGAACTCGTCCAAAAACTATTCCGGAATCTCCATTTTTAGTCGAGTTATAGTCGAAATACTGCGAAATTTTATTCTGAGCAATTCCAGAAAATTAAGGATAACTCGGCTCAAAATTGACATTTTTGAGTTCTGAAAAGTGGAAAATGATTGGAAATTTATTATTCACAAGATCTGATTATCAAAAAAACCCAGTTCCAGGGAAAAGCCCAATACTCAAAAAAAATCTCGAATTTATAACCGCACGTCAACATGAAAAATGCACAAAAAAGGAGCAAAAAAGCGGAAGAGTGCGGGGTTCCAATTTTTCAAAAAAAAGAGAGAGAGTGAACGAGAAAAAATGGGGAAGGAATATGATGAATATGAAGATGGAGGCAGAAGAAGAAAGAGAGTGACGTCAAAGGGACAAGCATATACTGGAAAAAAGGAAAAAAGAAGCCATTTTATTCGGATTTGAATGGGTTTTTAATGGGATATGGAGGAGGGAGGACAAGGGGATTTGGGGTTTATAGAAAAATTTTGCAAAAAAATTACTGAAAACTCAAAAAAAGAAACAAAATTCGAACTTCAAAACCGACTCAATATTGAAGAAACAACATTTTTGACGTAAAAAATTTTCAAAGAGCTTATAAAAAAATTGCCCAGAAAATTTGGAAAAAAATTATTTTCTTTGAAAATTTGAATTTTAAGTTCAGAAAACACCAAAAATGGATTTTTAGAGAAAAAAAGTTTCTTTCGGTGCTACATTGTGCTACTCCTAAACTTTGAGGTCAAGTTTTCAAAAAATACCAAATTTTTTTTCGACATTCGAATTTAATATGACCAGATGCGCCTTGAAATTCCCTACATTTCGGACCAAAAACCAAGTCGAAATCTTCATTTTGAGCCGAGTTATAGTCAAAATACGTGAAAATTTTATTCTGAGCAATACCACTAAATTTATCATAACTCGGCTCAGAATCAATATTTTCGATTTACGAAAAGTTGAGTTTGTGGATTATTCTCGCGGATCAATTTTACAAAACTAAAATTTTCAGAAAAAAAAATCCCCAAACCCCAAAAATCTCGCCCCAGAACAATATATCTTGCCTCGATGTTTACTACCCCCGAACTCGTTAAAACTCTTTCTTGTGACTTCTACCCTACTTCAAAATGATCAAAATAAGTTCAAATTACTCTCTTCTTTCTCTGCGTCTCTCATTTTTTCGGACTCTCTTACTGATCTCTGTTCGATAACCCCCTTCGCTAGAATCCAGAGAGAGGGTGTAATAATCAGTTGCGTACTATAGACAAGAGAGGGGGATGAAAATGAATGGATAATGTTTCCGATGGGATGGTGGAAGAGGTCTGATGGACCAGGTGATATAGAAGACAGATGATCAATTATCACTGGGGAAGAGATCTTTGGGACACTGATTTTTATCAGTATTATTAGAACGGCATGCAGTTTGCAAGGGAGTTATATGGGAGTTTTTTTCAATTAACCCAAAATTGTGCTATTTCGAGGGATAACAATCTGAAAACACGCCGTTTTTCAAACAACAAAGTGTTTACGCGCCTCCGGCGCTCTTGCGGGCTCATCAAGAACTGGATTCAATAATTATGAGGTTTTGAATCCAGTCATCGAGGTTGATGTGGCGCGCCGCAGGCGTATTTGCAGCCATCAACCGATGAAATTCTGAAGTGATTGCTCGGCGTTACAGTAGTATTTACATGAGATTGGGAAAATTTTGAGAAAAAAATTCTCTGCGCGCCTACGGCGCATTTGCAGGCTTTTCAAGTGTCAGTCATTGAGGTCGAAGTGGCGCGTCGCAGGCGCATTTGCAGCTTTGAATCGATCAAGTTTTAAGTAGGAAAAAGGAATAATTTGTAGATCAAAAAATTCCCTATCGATTGCTACTAATTTCATATAGCATTGAATTAGAAAATGTAAGTAAAAACTGGAAATGGGCGAACCGTTTTTTTTACCAGAACAATTATTTTTGGAAAATGTAGAGCGTTCAGAACAAAAAAATATATCAAAACAAAATTCCCTATCGATTGGTATGATTAACATCGATATAACTACAGAGAGATTGGCAGAAAAAATCAAAACTCGAAAAAATTTTGATTTGTCCTTTTTCAGATCACATTTTCTAAAAAAAAACCTATATGAAGTTTATACCAATCAATATAGAATTGTTTTGATTTAAAAAAAAACCTTGCGTTTTATAATTCCGACCTGTTTTTTTAGGGCTGCAACAGAAAATGTGGGTCAAAAAGTCAAAAACTGAAAAATTCAACTTTTCAGTGATAAATTTTGAGCTTACAACTTTTGATCTACATTTCCCTTCATATGAAATCTATACCAACTTTTCCTACTCTTTCAAAAAAAAATCATATAGAGCCGCCCCAAAAAAAAAAAGATTCTGATAGAAAAAAAAACAACAACAAGAATCCAGTAACATTATCCGTCGTAACCCAACACGAAAATCCGAACACAACAATGTCATCAAAACGTGCAGTTTTCCCCCTCTCTCTTCTTCTCCGCCTCGGTTGAAATCATCGGGAAAACCGAATGTGACAAGTTGAAATGTGTGTCTCAGTTTTATGTGTACTCGATGATACGGGTGGGGTGGTGGGTAAGCGGGAAGGTTTTTGACAGCCTCCCCGGGAGAGGGACAAGTTTTAGTGTCACTCTAATAAAAGAGCATGTTTTATTTCAAAACTTCTAAATTCTAAAAAAAAATCATTAATCCCCATCACAATTATAATCGACATGTACGAAACAGCGTTCGACAAAGTCCAATTTTTGAATATTTTTCTCCAAATCATGGGAAATGTCGTGGGTGATCTGAAATTTATGATTTTTCAAAGGATTTTCCAGGTTTTTCGAAAAAAAAAGTACCTTCAAAGGAAGTTTTTCATCAAGCACAATATGCAATTCAACCTGAGCATTCAGACCAGTGTAGTAGATCATGGAGTGATCGATGTATCTGAAAAATTGATTTGTAGATCAAAAAATTCTCTATCGATTGGTGTAAATTTCATATTGGTTTGTTGAATAAGAACTGAAAAATGTCGGAGTTTAGGCTCAAAACTTGAATTTTTCGAATTTTCATCGAAAATTTCTGAAACAATCCTGTATGAAATTTATGCTAATCGATAGGAAATTTTTTGATCTCCAATTCTGTATTGTAGCTTTTGAGAAGTGTCAAAAATCAGTCAGCTAGGGTCAAAAAGCTGAAAAAATTTCGGTTCATTTTTTTTTTTTGAAAAAAAAGTGAACTTATTTCGAAAAACAAGGCTTTTTAGAAAAATGAGCTTTTCTTTCGGAAAAAGAGTTTTTTTCTTTCAAAAACTGAGCTTTAATTTCGAAAAATGAGCTTTTTTTTTAATTAGAGTTTTTTTTTTTTGAAAAATGAGCTTTCATTTCGAAAGAGAGCGTTTTTTTCGAAAAACGAACATTATTTTGGTAAAATTCCAAAAATCAAAAAAAAATAGAGGCCCATCATGGTCAGATTCTGCTCATTTTCCGAAAAGTCTAGGAGTTAAAAAAAATTAGTTGGTAGATCAAAAAGTTTCCTATCAATTGGTATAAATATCATATAGGGTTGTTACAGAAAACGAACGTCAAAAATCTAAAAATTTCACTTTAGTCCCTAAATTCCGGGATTTCAAGTTTTTTTCCTCCTTCTCTGGAACAACCCAACATGAAATTTATACAAATCGATAGAGAACTTTTTGATCTACCACCTTCCGTTTCTCAAAAAACTCCAAAAAAACTCGGAAAACTCACCTAATCCTCTTATCATGCTTCAACGTGATATTCAAAATCCTTGCCATCTGATCTCTCTCAGCACTGATTCCCACCAGCTGTGGAATATTCTCAATAACATGTCGACACCACGAAAAAGCAATCCAGGAGCACACACAAATTGCTCCAATTGGATCAGCGAATCTCCACACATAATCTCCCAAATATCCACAAATTAGTGCCAAACTTCGGGTCATTAGATCGTTCCTCAGATCCA